AGTGGAGGCCTCCCAGACAGCCTCAGCTTCCTGTTTAGTCCTGTTCTTTTTCTCAGCAGGTTGCTGGGAACCAGGGCAGTTGAGAATTACAGCCTAGCTTTAATTGCTTTTCTTTGATAATGAGTGTGCCACAGAGCTTTTTATCTTCTGCATGACTTCTCAGAAGGCACAGGCTGCAGGGATGAGGGCAGGACTGGGATGCCTGACTCCAACTACCTTGTGTAGATGTCTCCATTCTGCCCCAGGGCCAACTGAAGGAAAGGGCTACATTTCTTGGGGCTCAGTGCTTCAAGCTGACCTAGCCCAGCAAGACTTCCCAGGAGGCAGAGTCTCCAGAAATTGCCTCAGACTTCTCAGGAGGCTTGTGCCCTCCCCAGGGGTACAAGCATGAGGGAGGACTTGAGTTAAATCCCCAGAACCTATCCAAAAATAAAAAATAAAAAAAGCCAGGCATAGTGTACCTTGTAATCCCAGCACTGGGAAGGCAGACAGAGATGACTCTCTGGGCTCACCAGCCAGCCAGCCTAGCCTACTTGGTGAGTCCCAGCCAGTGAGAGACCCTGTCTCAAAAAACACTGTGGACATATCTGAAGAACAACACACAAGACTGACTTCTGGGCTTCACACATATTTGCAAGTACACACACACACACACACACACACACACACACACACATCACCAGAATCTTGCCATCTCTAGCATGTCTATTAACTTGACAGGTAGGCAACAGTTGAAATCAGGGTATGGAGGGAACAAAGCCATGCCCATGCAAGCCTTTCCTCTGTGGCATGTGACAAGGCTGGGGGTAGGAAGGCCTGAGCAGGATTCAGGTCACTGGACACACTTTCCCCTCCCACTCAGTTCTGGTCTATCTCCCAGAGATGGTATGCTGATTGTCCTGTGGGAAAAAAATGAAACATTTGCCAAAGCTCTGTCAGGGTGTAACATCCCACCTTCCCCAGGATCCAACAGGAGCAACAGGCAAAGTGACTTCATACTGGGGAAGCCACTTGTTCCGTAGCCATAGCAAGGGCATACTATGGTCATCCATTGCCTCCACTCAGAAGGCGGACATCAACAGGGGACACTCTTGAACAAAGAAATTACTGAGACATTCAAGCTTCCACTGCTTGTGTGGCTTTGGTGAAATGATGAAATCCATCCATCCATGGCCTCAGAGTCCTGGCTAGTATCTTGGAGTTAGCCTCAAACTAGGTGTGTTTGTGTGGAAAAACAAACAGACTCACTGTTATATCACCTAGGAAGGTGAAGCCTGGAATATAGCCAGTGCAAGCATGCTAAATCATGTAGCTGCAGGATGTGTTTATCCAGAGGACATAGCCTTTCAAAACGGAGGCTTGGTTAAGTGGGCCAGACTCCTCTACAAAGAAAAACTTCCCACTACTGCATAATAGCTTGTCTTTTCCAGTTTCCTATTGCCCCTTTCCCCTAATCCCCTATTAAACAGAAGCACAGTGGTCAAGCCTGCCCACTGGCCCCCAAAGGGGCCTGGCCAAAGGCTCAACACAAAAGCCCCTCACAAAGATGTCAGGCCCTGTGTGCATCAGCTGAGGCACTCAGGTGAAATTACATGCCTCGGGGTGTTCCCCCTCTCACATCTGAGTGTAAAAACAGACCAATGCCTTACATAGACTGTGAAATTTCTAGACAGGCATATAGTGTTACTGTCTGGAACTTTCCATGAACCTCCTCAGGTTACCATACATATTAATATGAACACCACATTTAAAGAAAGGAAAATATGTTGTGCCTGGTGATTGCTGTTAATTGAATTCATCTGGGAATTTTAAATTCAAAAAAATGTAGCCCCATTTATGGCACATGAAGGTTTGAGCGGGTTGTGGCTTTTGCTTTTTGGGATGGGAAATCTCTTTTAAGGACAGTTTCTGTAGTGTGAAGTGTTAAGTTAGAGTCACCTGTAAAAATCATTAAGTTGCGGAACTAGTGAATGGGACAGTATGACACTGCACACAGCTGTGTTCCTCCAGAGGCAATCTGCCATTCACAGCTTCCTGCTCAGGAAAAGAAACTTCACATTCCTACAAAGATAGCCCTCGAGGGCTGGAGAGATGGCTCAGTGGTTAAGACCACACAGTGTCCTTGCAGAGGACTGGGGTTTGTTTCCAAGCAGCTACACGGTGATTCATAACTGTAATTCCAGTTCCAAGGGATTCAACACTCTCTTCCGGTGGGCAACACTCATGCGTGTGGTGTATTTACATACATGCAGGCAAAACTAAATTAAATTAAAAGTAAAGATACTGGTTGAGAGCCAGGTATGATGCATACCTTTAATGCAAGCCGTGGGAGTCAGAGGCAGGAGGGTGGCTTTAAGTTCCAAGCTGGGCTAACCATGGCTACATAGTGAAACCTTGTCTCAAATAAAAAAATAAATAAATGACCCACAGGAGGTCTCAGCAGTTAAAGGTGCTTACCACCAATGCCTAATGACCTGAGTTCAATCCCACAACTTATATAATGGAAAGAGAGAACTGATTTGCACATTGTTCTCTGACTTCCATGCACAGGGGCACACGCGTTTGCATGTGTGTGCACACGTACACACACACACACACACACACACACACACACACTAAACCAATAAATGAATGTAATCATGTCTCCAGAACCTGACTTAATGTTTACCATGGTGAGCCAAGGTTGGATGGGTAGTTAAGTGAAAAGCCTTGTGGGCATTGGAAACTAGATACCATTTTCTTGACACTTGATGTAACACTGTGACACTAGCCAGGCTCTACAGTGAAGTAGACACACTGCCTCTGTCACATTCTGTCCCTTCCAGGGAGCTTGTAAAGCCCCCAGTCTGTGTTCTACAGCCCTGTGAGACTAATAGGAGGCAAAAGAGGAGCCAGTGGAGCGCCCAACCTCAGATCTTCCTTCTGCCTTCTCACAGAGAAACTCAGTTCCCTCTCCTCCAAGGGCCTACACAAAAGCCAAGGAAAAAAGGAAATAACCCCCCACCCCCTGGCTTGTCTGTGCGGCTCCCCTCTAGCATCCTACCTCCTGGAGGCTATCTACCATACAAAGGGATTCAGATTATGCACCAGACAAGTGCCATGTTTATGTTCCCTGTCACCCGATGAACAAGTAAGTATCTCATCCGATGAACAAGTACCGTGTGGGCTTTTCAACCAAGGACCCAAGCTGGGCCACACACAGACACACAAGGCCAGGCACACCCAAGAAAGCTGGCACAAGTCACAAGTACCCAGCACAAGTACACAGGCAGCTGTCCTCTGCCCTAGGGACACTCTTAGCATCTTTGAGGTTTTGTGTTTTTACTCACCCACAACTCCTAGAACCACTATTTGCCTCAACAATACTCAAACCTGCTATAGGGCCCCCATTAAGGGCTGAACAGGATCAGGGGTACACAAGGCTTTATTTTGATTAGGGATGCCCTATGTAAAATGTGTGCCTGGGCCTCTATAATCTGAGCATCATTCTGGGGGGAGGGTAGAGTCAAGAGGATCAGTGAGAACTAAAGCCTTTCTGATTGACAGCCCTATGAATTTCATTGTCCTGCCCTTTCTAATCCCATGGCTTCCTCCCAGCTCTGTCCTACCAGACTCAAGCATAGGCTTCACTCAGGAATTCTCTAATGTTTTCCTTCTAGGAAGGCTACCCATGGTGTGTCATGGCTGCCTGGTTTGAGTTCTCTCTCTCTTTCTCTCTACCTCCCTCCTCCTCTCCCTCCCCCCTCTCTCTGTCTCTCTGCTTTACAAGCTGGTCCTGGGCCCAAGACATGACTCAGGCAGTACACCACTTGCCCTGTAAGCATGAAGACCTGAATTCTAAATGCTTGGTGTGATGACCATGCTTATAATCCAAGCACCAGGAAGCCATGTAGAAATTGGAGGCTTGCTGACCAGGCAGTCTGGCCTAATTTGTGAGCTCTAGGCCAGTGGGAGATCCTGCCTTATCTCTCTGTCCTTTCAGAACCAAGAGAAGATACGAAGCAGGAGCTGATAATTAGGAAACTGAGGTGCCCGGATTCATAGAGTGGCGATAAGCTTACACTTTGGGCTCTGTAGCCAGGACCCCTCCAGTTTACAGCAGAACCCATTCCATATTCCACCAGTCACACAGCCAACCAGCTTAAAAGGTGGTAGCCACTGTCACACAGCCAACCAGCCCCCCAGCCTGTGGTAAATTTCTACTTACTCCCCATATTTGAGCACTATGCCAAAACAAGCATAAAAGAAACAAAAAGAAAGTTCTGGTTGCCAACTAAAACACCACCACCATCCTGGTAACCCACCAGTTCAGCAGTGAGGTCAAAAGTGGGCACGGATCCTGGATGCCTTTGCCAGGGCTGTGGGAGGCATCTAGATGAAGACTGTCCTGCTGTCCCCACAAGGAAGTGCATTGCCTCTGGTGACCACATCCATGTGCAGGGAATTCTCTGGTCCTGAGGTTTGGTCAGTGACTCCCGGTGGTTCTCCCTGATTTGAGTACACATCATATCCCTGCCAACTTTAGGACTTCATAATCCTACAAAATCCAGCACACCTATGGGCTAAGCCACAGGCAAACTGTGGCACCAGTTATGGGGACCAAAGCCTGATGCCAGGAATGACAGGCAGCCTTCTTCACCTTCAGGCTACTGGCTCACAAACTACCTAGCTGGAGCTGGGGTTATAGAAGACATGGGCCATCCCATGGTCTCTGGACATTTTAGCTGCTGGGACATAGAATCTGTCACCAAAGGACCTTATATATTCCTCATACTTGTTCTGCTTTTGAATTTGAGTCACAAATCACAGTTGGATTCAATGGCCCTTGTTTCTGACCCAGGTATCTGAAGGTGTAGACTTCACTCAGACTGTATGGCCCTGTCAGAGATGGAGGAATGGGGCACACTGGCAGTGACAAGGCATGTCTGCTCTTGTCCCTCATGGCCTGTAGTTACAGAGGTGCAATACTTTGGGGCATGAAAAGAGAGACAGCAACTTACGTGGCTCCTTTTGCCTTCTTCATCCCCTACAGATGTAATGACTGTCTCAGAAAAGACCATCTGTCCAGTCTTGTTGTTGGTTGTCTACAGACAAACACAGGTGTAGTAAAAATGAAACAAGGAATTCTGGGAAAAATCTAAAGCTTATGTTTGTTTTTCACTTTCTGGTGTGGGAGACAGGATGCCCACTCCCCCTTCTGAGTTCTAATCACAGCACTGCCAGTGAGCAGAATCCCTGGAGATATTCAGACTCCATATCACCAGGTCACTGTGCAGAAGGAACAAAGTGATAGTGGATAGCAAAAAGCCACCTATTTAGTACTCAACACCAGCTATTTTTATCACTCTTGGGACTCATCACTTGGCACTCAGTGTCAAGATTCTTTTTGACAAAATTCCAGTCTGACCAGCGTGATGGCAGAGGCCTAAAATCACAACAGCACTTGGGCTGTGGAGGCAGAAAGATCAGGGGTTCAAGGTCATCCCTACCTATATACTGAGTTGGGAGCCAGACTGGGCTACATGAGACTCTTGTCTCAAAACAAAAACAAAAACAAAAACAAAAACAAAAAACGTTAAACAAAACCAACTAGTCTGTGCATCTAGCCAAACAAATGTCTCCATAAGAGGCAAGAAGGTGAAAGTTCTGGCCACTCTCCCGGCTGCTGTTCTATAGAGGTATTCATTTCAGAAGATAGCCCTGAAGCACAAAGGAAACCTGCCCCTGAGTCAGCTTGTGGGCTGCCCTGATTCTTTCCTGAGAGGAGGTACCTCAAGCCACACCCGGCAAGGAATCAGGGCCACTCCTGCCTCCTCCAAGGCTGGGACTAAAGATGGATCTGGCCCAGGACCAGAAGAACTGTGTTTTCTGAGCTGTGACTCAGCTGCCAGCAACCATCTAGTCATTTCTCTTCTCTGATTCAGTTTTCTCACTTTGACACCATCTTTAAAGTCAGTGCCAGCTGTACTATCTCAAGAGTCTACTGCCAGAACCAAGAGAATGTGGCCCACTCTGCAGACAGGGATCGGCTTCTACTTCCTAGGCAGCGTGGGTTGAGCTTCACCACCCTGCTGTGCTCTGCTCTGCTCTATTTTTCTTCCCCCAAGGCCTTCAAGTGGTCCAGGCAGGCCTCAAAGTTACTATATATCCAAGGTTGGCCTTAAACTCCTGATCCCCCTGCCTCCACTTCCAAGTGCTGGGGTTACAGACATGAGTTATCATTCCTGGTTCATGTTTTCTAATTTTTACCTAAATATTTCCTCCCTGTGAAGAGAAATTATGTCTTTTTTTCTTCTTGATTATAACTTTTTTATCAGTATCTTTTTTTTAATTATGCAGCCCTGTTGCAGGCCCTCTTGGTGCTTTTATTATCCCACCATGCATTTCTTCATCTCTAGGAAGAGAATATATGCAATATTTTTTAATATATTTCACTGCTATTGCATACCTGCCTCCTGAAGCGCTGCACAGGCTGTCACCCCACAGAACCCCTTGGGAACCTGTGCTAGTAACAGCTTTCCCTGTTGTCATTCCCCGTGGTGCACACCTTTAATCCCAGCACTCAGAGAAGGCAAGGCAGGTGGATCTCTGGGAGTTCAAGGCTGGCCTGGTCTACATAGTGAGAATCTATCCTTAAAAAGGGGGAGTCCCTTTTGTTTTCTAAGTCAGGGTCTCTCTCTCTCTCTCTCTCTCTCTCTGTTGTCCTGGCTGTCCTGTACTATAAACTGCTTCCACCTCCCAAGTGCTGGGAATGAAGATGTACTCCACCACACCCAGCCAAAGGTTCCCCTCCAAGTGAGATATGTCACTAATGAGTTGCTCCTACTGGAATAGTGAAGACCCATCTCCCATAAGGTCTCTTCTTCAACCTGACAGAGGCACACACGAAAACCCAAGAGGTGAGTTCCTCCTTCTCAGATACAAAAAAGCCTCAGCTTTATACACTGCCTAAAGTATAGAATCGAGTTAGCGCCTGATATGCACCTCTCCCCTTGAATAGCACCCTCCCTACTGATGTTTTTTTTTTTTTTAATCTGCTTTCTATAACTCTCACTTACATTTGTGGCTTTATATCACATGTGTCAACAGGCCCCTTTCTCTCCAATGGGACTGCCCTGTAGGAAGGACATGGCTGCATTACAGCCCTTACCTTGTGAATTTCTTGGTGCATATGGACGGTGTTATTCCCGACCCTGGCATCTGTGTTGGTCTCGTTGTGATAGTTGGCAGGTAAACTTGACAGATTCACCTCAGAGGATGTTCTAGCAGCTGCTTCTTCCGCCTCCATCTATCAAATTAAACAAGTAAAATGGTTTCTTTCAGCTGTAACTGAGAGGAGAAATAAAGGGCCCCTTTCTCTTTCCCTCTTCTATAGGTGCAAAGATTGGTGATGGTGACAGACCATTGAGTGGCCATTAGACATGAGTTCCAAATGTTTTACATGGCCTTCAAGTCTCACAACCTCAGAAGGTAAAAACGCTGGTCAAGCAAGCCTAAAGACCCAAGTTTGATCCCTAGAACCAATGTTGGATATGGTGACCCCAAACTGCCATCCCAGTACTGCTACAAGGGTATGGGAGGCAGAGACAGGAGAATCATCCAGGAGCTCACAGAGCAGCAGCTGAGAAACTCTGCCCCAGCAAAGTGGAAGGAAAGAACCAATTTCTGAAAATGTGTTCTCTGATCTGCAACACATCTGCCATGGCACATACATGCATACACACATGTTATCCCCTCAAATGGTGCCCTTACCTCTTCTGGTTTTCAATCTGCATTCTATTGATCTTATTTACATTTGTGGCCTTGCATCACCCCTGTCAATCTTTTTTTTTCCCCCTCTTAGTATCACAACCTCCTAGGAGATGCATGCTACTAATCCCATTTTTCAAATAGAGAAACTGAGGCTCACAGAGTCTAGAGAATTCCCAAGATGCTAGTGTAGGCTGGAGTTGAAATTTGAGCATGTTACCTTGCCCAGGCCTTGGTGGCCTAACCCAGAAGTCACATGCACTAAATTCCCATACAGCCAGCCAGCACCTTAGTCTCTCTCTGGCCATAGGAATGTGTTCATCATCGGAATCCCTCAAATGTTAATGTCCCTCAAGTGTTAATGTCTCCAGTGAGGGAGTGACAGGCTGGGGGAGAAGCACCCCACATTTCCTCCTTGTAAGAAAAGTCTGTTTGTGGGCTCTTGTGGGATTAAACCTCAAGTGACCAAGGCAGGGTCCTTCCCAGGGCCTCGCCTTTACTATTTTATTTTTTCCTTCCCACTTTGCTTTTAATTCTGCAAGAGTTTTCTGGGGTTTGTCCCCCAACTAAACATTTTTCTGTCAAATTCTTTTTGCAGGGTCTGGCGTATGTGGGGAGACCGAAACTCAGATAGATTGAATATCCTTCAGACAGGAGTCCCCTCCCCACACCATCTCTTGTTAGCCCTGGGTGGGATCTTCTATGGGATCAATAGATCAATAGATGGACCTACCCAGCCCCCTTAGTTCTGCAAATATTTATTAGTCCTTCTTTGGTGTTGGGGTTCTGAGGTTGTGCCTTCAAATCTGGTCCTGTGAAACAGCAGTCAGCACATTTTACACCCAGCTTTTCCTTCAGGATCTATCACATCTCCAGCCCTGGTGAGTAGGCAGGATGGCCATCCACAGCCACAGAGACAAAAAGGCAGGCCAGGTCATCAACCACAGAGCCTATCAGATGCTGTCTCTAGAAATTTCAAATGCAAGACCCAGTGGGAGTCCTGGCTGAGGGGTTGGGAGATTTCTAGTACTCCTACCAGGGCTGTTTTGATCCTGGAAAACAAATCCTCAAAAAGCATTTTCCTACTGAAAACTTTCTCTATCACTTTCTCTATCACCACTCCTTTCTTCCTCCTCTTCTTTCTTCTTTCTTTCTCTCTTTCTCTCTCTCTCTCTCTCTTTCTTTCTTTCTTTCTTTATTTCTTTCTTCCTTTCCCCTTGTTTTGACAAGGTCTCATGTAGACTAGCCACAAATCTACTATGTGCCTGAGGCTGGCTTTTAACTCCCTGCCTCCACCTCCTAAGTGCTTCCATGAGCCACAACACCCTGCTCTCATTCCCTGACTACTATAACATCATTTTCCCACCTCCCCTGGCCATGAGGACCAAGCTGGTAAGCACAAAACACACTGAACTAGAAGAGAAGAAATCTGATGTGCACACACAGTTCATCCAACAGTTTTGGGTGCCTGCCTCTGTCACATTGTTGTGCTGACACTCTGAAGGAGGAATGCTGCTGCTTTATGGAACCATCACTGCTTCCTTGTAAAATTTTAGCCTTATTCGTGTGTATGGCCACTACACCTGGCACTGTGCACATTCAAATCAACCCCCATGGGGAAAATGTTGTTCACTCTCCTGTTAGAGGCAAAGAAAACAAGCCTGCCACAGGTCATCATATCAATTGGCAAATGGAAACACTTGAATTAAAATTTAGGTCTTTCTGATTTTAAATAGCATGCCTTTCATGAACCGTCCAAGATTCCTCTTCCTCAATGACTTACACATTTATGGGGAGAGTCTCACACAAACCAGTTTAAAGATGACTGTGGCCCCATGTAATAGTGTCTACCAGTAGCTCAAGGGTCTAAAGAAGAAAGGGAGGAGGTTTCAGAAGAAGGAGGATGCAGGACTGGACTGGTCCCAAAGGATAAGAGCATTTGGATAGAGAGATTGAGAATGGTACAGAGTTCAGAAGCAAAGCTGCAGCATCCTGAACAAGCCAGCATGACATGATGTGAGCTGGAGCAGAAGGACCCTGCTGGGCATGGGAGGAAACTGAGGAAGGGATCAACAGACCCATCTAAAGAGCATCTCTAGTACATATGCTGGCCTGTTTTTCAAGCAGAGACATCACATCAAGGTCGTTTCTAGAGGTGGGACTCCACACATCAGTGAAGTTTTTGGATAACTAGGAAGATTCCTTTCTCCTTCATCTGACCTCAGTTAAGAATCCCTGCTCCAGGCAATTGGGAGCTGTAGAAAGTTCTATACTAGTTGGGAAATAATTTAGAGACCAGGTAAGAAGAAACCAGAGTCAGAGGACTGGCCAGAATCAAGTCTGGAAGAAGGAGCCATGTGGTGGCAAAGGCTTCATGTCAAGTCTAGAAGGACCAAGATGAGCACTGAATGAGACAACTAGCTGCCCCCAGCATCATCACAGGGCAGCATGGGGATGGGGTGGATGAGCCAGGGTTCTGGAATCAGAGAGGTGAGCTCAAGCCCCAGGTTTATCCCCAAAATATCCACATAATCTTGGGCAAGACTCCAGGCCCCTCTAAACCACAGTTTGGATGTGTGTTCAGTGAGGATGCTCCCCACTTTGTTCAGCAGGTACGAGAATTCAGGAACTCCCAACCTGATCATCAATATGGCACCTGTTTCAGGGTTAATAGACAACATGAGCTACTCTTCTTGTAGCATCCTGTAAGAAAGCAATTGGTGAAAAAGTCAGCTTGGGAGAAGCAGGGAGGAGGGGCAGGCAGCCAGTAGTGAGTGTCTGAAAAGCTCCCATTATAACCAAGTAGAGAAGAAAGAAAATAAACCAGGACTAGAGATAGGATGGGTGGGCAGGAAATGATATACTTTTTAGGAAAGGGACCTGGGTAGCAAAGAGTAAGTTTTAGCTGGGAACAGAAAAGCAAGGTACTAGAGAGGGTGTGTCCAGAAAAAGACTGTCTTAATGTTTTCTAAATTCCACTGGAATTGGAATTGTACAGTTTGGCTTCCAGATAGCTGGCAAGTCCCCAAATCTCCAAGCTACTGTTGGCTGAGCAGTCTCTCTCAAACCCCTTTCCCTCGCTGCCAGTGGTTGTATCAATGCAATGAGCTAAGGAATATTTAATGAAACCATAAACTAAAAGCATAGTTTATCATGGAATTTTCAACCACAGTGATTACTGCCACTAGCAAGAGAAACTGAAGCCTGAAGCAATAGTTGCTTCACAGCTGAAGAATGTGAATGCGGTTAAAAATGGCATTCACAACCCATCAAACTCACGTCTATTAAAAGGGCACAGTAGGAAAATTGAACAGATAAACCAGGCTTGGTATTGGGGCTCTGCCTAGGACTCTGTGAGGTGATAAGATCCCTCTAGAATAAACCAGCTACAGGCTGGGAGATGATACACGAGAAAGGCACTTGCCACCAAACCTGACGATCAGAGTTCAATCCCCAGGACCAACATGGTAGAAAGACAAAGCCATTCCCTAAATCATTCTCTGACCTCCACATGTATGCAGGGCACAGGCATTTACATACACACACACAAAACAAATTCATACATAAAATAAAGCATTCCAAATACAGCAGTTACAGATGTGGCAATGAGGGCAGGCAGGATGAAGCGACTTTATCCTTAACATACACTTCCTAATGACATGGAATACTAAAACAAGAAAACAGGACCATCTTAGATCCAAGCCATTGCAGAACTTGCTTTTTCTAAAGATAATCCTAGAAAATCAGTTACTTTGTCCCTTAAGAGACATCAACAGCTTGAGGCAGCTGGAAAAAATAAAATGCCAGGAAGTTACTTGAAAGCAGACTCACGATGCAACTATGTAAACATTAACTGCCTGTGACTGGGTTCTCCCTCATACCCTTGGATAGCAGCTAAGCAGCAAATGCCTGTGTTTATGACATTTAAGGGGCTTTCTGGGAGTTTCTTTAAAAAATGCCTGGTTAGTGAGATGGCTAGCCAGAGGGTAAAAGTGCTTGCTATACAAGCCTGACACCTAAGTTCAATCCCTGGAACCCCCCCACACACAATGCATATATAAAATAATAATAAAATAAAAGTTACTTTGAAAGAGCCAATAGCCATAATATACTAAAATCATACACTACTTTAAGACTGATTTTAATACTTTGCATTTTCCTTTTCTCTTCCTCCCCACCCCACTCCAGTTCTGGGGATCAAACTCAGAGCCTCAAGCATGCTTAGGCTGCCTTTGATCTCACTATGTAGCCTAAGCTGGCTTCAAAACCATGATCATTCTGCCTCAGCCTCCCAAGGACTGGGACAACTGGTATGCACCACATAGCCAGGTCACATTACCAACATTATCATGACAAAAAAAGATGGTTATTATTTCCTGAGTCCCAACAATCCCCCATAATCCTTACAATGACCTCATGAGGAAGATACTCGGTTTATATCTATTTGCTTTCCTTACACCAATATTTGACCAAGTAATTTGCTTTCTAGAATTTTCTCTTTGACCTAGAGGTGGCATTTTCTCCACTTCAGACCCTGAATCCCATCACTAATAAATGGCAGTGAGTGCTGGGAACTGAATGAGAAAAAGTTGGTCTCTACTGTCTATGAGAGTGCTCAGCCCTCCTTATCCTTTCTCCACCGCCCACAAGGTCACTCTAGGGAAAAGACCATTGACTTGGCTTGATGCTAAGCTCAATGTCTTGGGTTTTACAGCCAATCTACACAGCTCAGGCAGAGATATGTTAGGAAGGGGAGAGAGTGGCACTATGATAAAAATCTACTGTGGCGGGGCTGGAGAGATGGCTCAGAGGTTAAGAGCACTGGCTGCTCTTCCTGAGTTCAATTCCCAGCAACCACATGGTGGCTCACAACCATCCGTTATGAGATCTGGTGCCCTTTTCTGGTGTGCAGATATACATGGAAGTGGAATGTTGTATACATAATAAATAAATAAAATCTTTTAAAAAATCTACTGTGGCTATTTCCCATGGGTCTGATGGGGTCACAAACTGCACTGATGACTGTAGAGGCTAAGCAGGCCTCATCGAAAGCTGACATCAAAGAAGCCTGTTTTGAGCCTTCTGAAGTATGATGGGCATTTCCCAGTGAGCTGGTCTGTGTTCCTGAGAATCAATGTGTAGGAAGGAAAGTCCTACAGCCCAGGTAAGGACAGCAGAATCTCTGCCGTGGGCCAGAATGGTCAGAGGCTCCATGCAATCTGCAATTATAGGTTAGGGCATGCTGGAGTCCAGCTGACTCACCTCATCCTTCAATCACTTTTCATGCCAACTGTTCCATAAGCTCAGGAAGCCCACGGGTCTCGGTACCCAGGCCTGTCTGGTAGATATTCATATATGGTTGCTCATGTTACTGTGTCCCAATCCAGTGTTCCCTGCAAAGTCCTGGCTTGGGGAATGGAGGGGAAAATACACCCCAACTACACAAGGCTGAAGTGACAGCAACCTATCTCGGCAGACAAGGGCCATCATTTAAGACTGCTGGAGGGGGGTTACCACGATAGAGACAGTGGAGAGCCCAACCCAGTTGTCTGGTTCACTGGGATGGCTGGTTCCACTCCAGCCTGTCCTCAAATGCCAAGGGAGGCTAGTGGCACACTGATCAAGAAGCCCCAGGAAGTTTTCAACATGGTAGGTGCCCATCTTAGGGGGCAGAGCCGGGTGCCATCCATCCAAAGTATTGGCACCTGGGAGATGGGAAATCAAAGTGGGCCTCTCATCTGCCAGGTGGGAAGCATTATATCTAATTTTCACGGGAAGATGAGGTTGAGGACGCTAAATGATTGACCAAATTCACCTATTGTTGACTAGCAGAAAATCGGACACATGAGCTCCAAAACACACTGGGTGTAGGTGAAGTGGGGTTGCCTCCCACATCCTCATCCCCTACCTTCTGACCATCTCTGCGGCATGGACTTAGGACATTCTTCAGGCTTCCTTTTCCGCCCCTAAACAGACTGGCAACAGAGCTGAAGACTTATCTTTTTTTTTTTTTCTCCCGACTGGCATCCTGACTGTATTTTGGGGAAGATAGCACAGGCTCGATGCCCAAGGGACAAGTTAGAACTTGGAGCTTCCTGTAGCTGCCCCAGCCTCTGCAAAGCCATTGCGCTGGGACACCAGAGTGACTCCAACCTCAGCTCAGCCCCAATGGGGAAAGAAAGCCAGCTATACATCCCAAAACATCTGCAACACAGTGGCCCCAGCTCCCAGGAAGGATTCAGCTAAGACTCCCTCGGTAGACAGGGTTGGATCCAGACCTTTTGGCAGGCAGGTAGAACCAGTTGGGAGTAAGTATTGCCCAGCGCTGCACCCAGGGCACTCCATGTCGGCTGTCAGGCCCTTTCCAGCTCTGCACAAAGCCAGGTCTTTGGCCAGTGCTGTGACCATCGCTAGAAATATCGCCTCCCCCAGGCCCTGGTACTTCCCGAGCCAGGAGCCTTCGGGGCGCACCCACCTCCTCCACAGCGCTGCGCAGTTTGTGCTGCGTGTCTTCCATCAGCTCCTCCACCTCTCGGAACATCTCATTGAGCGTAGCTTCCTCCTGCGGGTAGCTGAGAGCCGGGCCCGGTTCCACTGGAGTCCAAGTCGCCGTCGGGGCAGGAGCTGGGGTGGTGGGGACAGCTGCTGCCAGCAGCAGACACAGCAAAATACCCCGGAGTTCCTGCATGTTTGCTCCGCGCTGGCCGCCGCCTGTGTGTCCCGGAACGCTATGGACAGCTCTGCTTGCCACACTGATGGAAATCCAGCTCCCGAATCAAGGAATCCAGGTCTCCTACGCTAACAGCAGACCCCACCCCATCCCACCCCTGGACCAGGGTCACCCTGGGCTACCGGTTCAAGTCCCGTCTGGTCCCTTCCTTTACTAGTTCACAGTGCAACTCTACTGATAAGACTCCTTGGTCCCCGACTCAGGCCCCAGCCTCTCCCTGCCCCCAGCAGAGCTCTCAGGTCAGACTCCTCTCTTTGGATCCAAATGCATGAAGTCTCCACCTCTATCTAGGAGAGACCTAGCTAGGCTATCCCCACGACGGTGACCACCGAGCACCCACCTCGAATGGACAAAGTTGAGTCGCAGGCTGGATCTGGTCACACCTGGCCGCGGAGCTGCCACAGAGCAGCCGGAGAAGAATCAGTACTGCTCGAGGCACGGATGCAGCAGCGCGGTACCCAGTGAGCCTGCAGTCTGCTCCACCCCCCTACACACACACACAACCCAACCCACCACGCCTCTGCCCTGCGGGAGGGGCATTCGCACAGCCAATCGCTCTCCCGGCCGCTAGAGACCTCACATTTGACTCTAAGTCCAGGGAGACCCACTCTGCGGAATCCATCCCCCGCTGCCTACGCGATAGCCCAGGCTTATACTGTCTCTGACAACCTTCTTGATTAGCGCCTTGCTGTCTAAGCCATCCTCTGCCTTAGATGCAGTCATAAAGGACGGACTCCCAGCCCCTCAGTCATCACAGGCTAGTCTAGACGGCCTCCAGCCAGGAAAATCCACTTTTGGCCCTGAGAATGGGTCAACAGAAAGTCAGTAAGTCCCTAGAGGGCGACATAGCAGAGTGACTAGGATCCACACCACCAGCCCAAGTCCTGCCAAACTAGAGTGGTTTGTATAGGCAAACTTTGTATGTGCACGCCCTACTTAATATGCACGATGCAAGAAGAGGGATCGGAGCTCAGAAATAGGCTGTGTCACTATCATAATGAGATTTCAGTCTTGTCTATTGGCTTCTATCTCCTCAGTGCCTAGAAAAGGAGGGCCTTAAAAAAAAATAAATGTTTCAAAAACTTTTCCACTTCTTTGATTATCTAATCCTGATTCTACCCCCTTGGTTTCCCTGATGAACCCTCCCTCACCCCCAGCCCACATCTCCTGAACTTTACCCCTTTCTTTCCTGTGCTGGCTATTTTTTTGTCACTGACACAAACTAGAGTCACCCGGGAAAAGGGAACCCCAACTGACAAATTGCCTCCATTGGATTGGCCTGTGGGTATATTTATGGGGCATTTTCTTAACTGCTAATTGATGTAGGAGTTCCCAGCCACCGTGGGACACTAGACATATAAGGACCCTAGACATATGCCACCGTGGGGCATAGACTATATAAGAAAAGTGGTTGAGCAAGCCAGAGCAGAAAAAGCCAGTAAACTACTTTTAGTCATCAGCTTTATCACAGCAATAGAAAGCCAAATGAGAACATGCCCCATTTCTTCTCTGGAGTGGCTAGCTCCCTGTGCTCCCAGTTCACTGACTGGCTGGAGTCTCTTTGCCAGGCTGTCCCCCATCTACCCACCAAGAACCAGGAGCTCCTCTGTATCCACAGGGACTCAGGTCCACACACTAGGTCCCTGAAAAATGAAGGGGCTGGTGGTTATATCAATAGCTGCTGGTATACCAGTACAGAGCCGTGTTCAGTGAGCAAGCATTCTGTTCCAAATGTAGGGATTTACTCATTGAAAATTCAGCAGCCTTTTGAGGTTGGTGCTGTTGCTTTTGTTCATTAAAAGCCGAAGAGCTGTGCTTTCTCATAAGGGAGAATCTCAATTTTGTGACCATCATTCTTTATAGAACTGTTTTGTAGATAAATAGTTCTGTTATTAAAAAAAAACTATTACAAAAAGAAAAGAAACTGCACATGACTTAATTATATAAGTTCTCAACCTGCCTAGCTCTGAGTCAAACCAGCAGACAGCCCCAGGCTGGCAGCAGAGGCACTGAGCAAACTGTAGTGATGGACACCACCCCGACCCAGACATGGTCTTGGTTCTGAAAAGTTTGGACAGAGACAAACACAACTCAGTGACTCTGGAGACTGGTGGGAAAGTCCCTATCTAGGTGGCTTTTGTGAAATGAGGGGCCTAGGGACTGGAATAGAGAGGGGACAGATCAACACAGAACTGTTAAATTTGGAAGAAGGAACTTTATTCAACTCCACAATTGCAATTATCTCTTTGACCAAGATCTATATCCACTGGAGACACCAGGGGGCGGCGGAGGGGTTAGTTACTGAGATAAACCCTATGGCCAAAGGCAGCTTAAGGAAGAGACAAGTTTATTCAGGCTTAGAGTTCAGGGGGTTAGTAATGGCAGAGTGGAGACAGCAGTAATGACAGCAGGAATAGGAAGCTGGGAATTCATATCTTTAATTACAAACATGAAGCAGGGAGAGGAAACTGGAAGTGGGTGGGTATATGTAATCTCAAAGCCTGCCTCTAGTGACCTACTTCCTCCACCAAGTGTACATCGTCTGCACCATAGTGCCACCAACTGGGGACCAAGTGTTCAAATATCCAAGTCTAAGGAGAACATCTGTCATTCAAATCACCACTGGGGGTGTTGTTTTGTTTGTCTGTCTTCTTTCAGAGTATTGGGAACACTTTCTGGGAACACTTTTTGGGAACACTTTTTTCTCTCTGAGAAGCAACTGTGACATAAATACCCCATTTCATGGATGAAGAAATGGCCCCCAAATGTTTGTCCTTCACTAGGAATTTCCTAGAGAGATGCTGCACAGCAGCTTTGCATCTCACCATCCACCCACTGGAAACGTGTAATTTTACACATTTACACATTATACAGCCCAAGGAGGTCTGTATAATGCTGCTCATCAAATCTTTGTGTGCTGGCGAGCATGCAAAGGCCACTTGTTGGCACTTTTCAGGAAGGGAGTAGATAAAATAGGGCAGGGGAGGTTCTGATACACAGCACAATGCTGTGTCGCAGTAAAACTAATGAGTGGCATTTATAGGCAGCAGAATTACTAACTCTCAAAAACATTATGAAGAATGGAAGAGGTAGTTTGCAAAATGAAATTCAAAGACTACTGCATGTGCATATTTTAAAACATAAAATAATAGCAGATGTTATTTACATATCCTTGAATATAGCAACAAATATAGGTATGATAGAGGCTTGTACAGCCTATTTCTTAGTGGGAGGCAGGGGAAACACACAGTGGGTTTTTGTTTTTGTTTTATTGTTGTCTTTTAAATTTTTTTCTAATATAGTTATACACATAAGCCCAGGCTGGCCTCACTATGTGGCTAAGGTGCTTTAATCCCTAATTCTCTTGCCTCCACCTTCCAAATAAAAGGATTATAGGCATGCACCACCACACTTGGCTCTCTCTATCTTAAATAGATTATGGTAAATATGAATTGGAACAAAATGAATAGAGTTGTATGCAGAGAAAACATCTTTGGCCTCTGTTTTTATGGCTCAGACGGAAGCCAAGTGAGATTATACATGACATATGTTCCAGGACATGCCAAATAAACACAAGCCTGAGAAGCCACAGTGCAATGAAGAACCAGTCAATAGAGAAGGCAAGAAGATGCTGATCACTGAATAGTCAAAGCTAACTCTTTGTAAAGTACTTAAAGGACCATGATCCCTGCTCCACCTCACAGTGACAGGGGTGAGGATCAGGTTGTAATGGCACTGGTGACTACTTCATTTGACTAAACCAAGGATGGACAGCTCAGCCATACTGGGCCCATCTCCTTCTCTTTCGGACTTGAGGCTGAAGAAACCATCCAAGTGAGGAAGACAGAACCTCAAATGAAATTCATGAGCCTGAGGGAGAAGGGGGGGGGGCTGAGACACCACTCTAACCCTTGGCTCTTGTTTCTTGTGAATCTTTCTGAGATACAGCTGAGAAATCTGTTCTTAGATTCTTCAAGTCCTTGGAGGATTGTTCTAGGGCCCCCACAAATACTCAACCCATTAAAAAAAGTGTTATATTCGCGTATAACCTGTTCAATATGGTGTAAACTTTATTCTCCTTCCTTACTCCCAGTTTATTTATTTATTTATTTATTTATTTATTTATTTATGGCTTGGTCTCATGTAATCAAGTGACAAAAAGTGACCTGAACTCCTTAATCATCCTCGCTCCACCTCCCAAGTGCCTGGCTTACAAGTGTGAGCCACTATGCCTGGCTTGCTTTCTTTCGTTTTAAAGAGACGATTCTCTCAAGGTAGTCTAATTTCACAAGAGTTTACTGTCCTGCCTTGAGATTCCAAAGCAGCTGAACAGGGAGTCATCAGAAGTGATTTGCCTCCCCTTTATCAGCGTCCTCTGCTCGGCAATGCCAGCCACACAGTTTCCCTGAGCCTCCTCAGACCCTGCCTGTAACATACAATTGTTCAGAAGAAATTGGTGCCAAGATTTTTCTAAATGGAAACTCCATCTGCCTTTGGAAAGAGTGTCCACATGGACTCAGGGTTTCCATGAGCAACAGCCACTGAATATCCAAAATATACGTTTCTTTTGCCAAGTTTCCGTGGGTGGGTGCAAAAGATACCCAGAGGACCATATCCCCGGTCATCACCCTCATAGAACAGCATATGAGGAGAACCTTGAGGCTGGTTCCCTTGTTTCTTTGGCTAGCAGGTGGATCAGTGAGCTCTGTATATTCTTGCATGTGTCTGAAATTGAGGATGACTAACAAGCAGAAGGAATATTTTGATGGAACTAGTTCACAAAAAGAAATGTGGCAGAGTGTGATGGCAAATGCTTAGATTATTATAAGATTCAGTCCTCCAAGCAAAGTGGCCTGCTTTCAAAAAAAAAAAAACCATAGGGAGCAAGCCTGCTGAGTCCCCCTAGAGAAGCAGGGAGAGGCATTGGATGCTTCTTTGTGATTCCAGCCTCTGCCTCCTGCCCATCTCAGACTGCTTAGGATCTCAGAGATGAGTTGCTAGGCCACAGAGACTATGGGAAAGCCATTGTCCATGCTGGGTGAAGACGTACTTGTGTGGCTACTTAGAGATCCCCATACTGCTGCAAGAAGCCTCTCCTCATGCCCTGGTAAAGACACCCAGTGATCTCACTGGTTCCCCCAGAGTGAACTTTGGTGAAATCCCACTTTAGTCTGTCATCAGGGCCTTATAAGGAGAGGGTTGACATTGTTCATATCTCCCAAGGAAGGTATATTTGAAGCATCTATCATCCCAACACTTAGGAGGAAGAGGCAAGAGAATGGGGAGTTCAAGATTATCCTCAAACTGTTAGGTAACTATTGAGGAAGAAAGCTTTAAAATGTGTCTACCCAGTCCCATTCCACTGTTTGGGGTCTGAATGATGGGTTCATTTCTTCTCGTGGACAGTTTGTCTGTTTTGTTTGTTTATATGCTGAATGAACTTAAACACTGAATTTAAGCAATAGGAACCATATCACTTACATAGATTTTTGC